TCATCTCTACTAAGATGGGTAAGAAAATTGGTGGTTGGGTTGCTTCTGCTGTCAACAACTCCAACAAGAAGAAGAAGAAACATGAAGACGATTATTGATTCTGACTAGGTTTAAATTGTACGTTTGCTGTGTATGCATGCATATTTGTTTCTTCCATTATTATATTATTATTATTATTATTTATGTGTGTTTGGAGTGATAAGTTTCCATTTCTGATTCTTGTACTAATATAATATACTCTGTATTAATTTATGAAATTTAAACAATTATAGTATTCCCATTGTTGAATAAATTTTACAATTTAATATGGTTGGTTTTATGACATTTGGACAATCAACCGCTAGGCAACACAACCGTTAAAATAACAAGCATATATAGAGAAAATATATAGAGAGAATATATGGTATTTCGTACTCTTGAGAATTGCTTGTGAACGAATAGTGAAAAGTGATTCCCCTTTCCTCATGTATGAGGTCGATCTGTTTATATATATTTCGGGCCTAGAGCCCCTCCAAGGAATAAAAATCGTACCTCATATTGGGTGTTATTTTTACGACAAATTATATCGTGCACCGCGGTGCATAATTGATTATGCAGCGAGTTTCAAAACGACGTCGTTTTGTTTAATGAAAGAACTGACACCTGTTTCCCAGCATTCCGCGCTGTTCCGCAAAAAGTAACTCTGTTATTCAGTTTCATTTTGTATACGCTGCAGTTTCAGTTCAACACAATTACAGTTTCATTTTGATATAACTACAGTTAATTCGATATTTATACACTCAAATATGTGAAAATGTTATTTAATTTTATTTTATATACACTATAGTTTCATTAAAACACAACTACATGATCATTTCTATATAACTACAGCTTCATTGCACAATATACACTCAAATATGTGAAATGTTATTCGGTTTCATTTTATATACACTGTAGTTTCATTTTAACACAACTACAGTATCGTTTTGATATAACTACAGTTTCGTTGGGTAATATACACTCAAATATGTGAAATTGTTATTCAGTTTAATTTTGTATACACTACATTTTCATTTCAATATAACTACAGGTTAATTTAATTTCAATTGCAGTTTCACTTGATAATATAAAAATAATAATACGTGAGACAGTCTAGTTCCAGCTGGATTCCAACAAAATGACAAAGCTAATGATAGAGAAATCTTTCCTTAATAATAATAATAATATTGAAAGCCGTGAATAATCATTACGATGAGGAGCTTTTCTTTTATAGCAATTCCTTTTAACAACCTTTACCAAAGCAAAGCCTTCTCATATGCCGGATTTATTCTTTGAAGAAATGCTATCCACGCATTATTTAACCAAGCTTAATACCAAATCAAACATTTTAATTTGTAAACCATACATTCCTTTCCTTTGACGGTAGATAAATAGAACTTGATGGGAGTTGGTCCACTTGACATACCTAACATAAATTTTAGGGAAAAAATAGAAATAGGCCATTGAACTATTTGAGGGATAGTAATTAAGCCACCGAACTCGAATAAGTTCAAATTGATCCATAAACCTGCAAAGAAAAGTGCAATTAGCATTTTTAGTAGGTTACCAACAAGTTTGTGATGATTAGGATACCATGTGTATTTTTTTATATTTTAGTTTATTATTATTATTATTATTATTATTATTATTATTATTATTATTATTATTATTATTATTATTATTATTATTATTATTATTATTATTATTATTATTATTATTATCCTACTAAACATTTGACCCAAAAAAAAAACTAAATTAGTGTAATTTTTAATTTGAAAAATTAAAAATTAAGTTTTAATTTAAACAATATATATATATATATATATATATATATATATATATATATATATATATATATATATTATTAGGGCATAAATTATTAAATACTCCGTATATACAAATATTGAAGAGCTAACTACTGATTGCCAAACAAGGACATTGCGAGATAGTTTCCCACTTCAATTTGTTGTGTGATTTGAATACTCTTTTTGTCAATAAATCTCCCAAGTAGTTAATATGATTGACTTAATTATATTTTTTATTTTTTTATTTTTTTTGAAACAATTATTATTATTATTATTATTATTATTATTATTATCATTATTATTATTATTATTATTATTATTATTATTATTATTATTATTATTATTATTATTATTATTATTATTATTATTATTATATCATCATACCCTTAGGTCATTTTACATGTTAATCTAAACAACTAATTTTTTCAAATATCTTTTTACCAACCATTGATATAATTCGCTGGTCAAATTCGCTAATATAATCCACTAACGCTAACCGCTAACTGCTGATTGTCAAACAAGGATATTGCGAAGTTGTTCTCACTTCAATTTGTTGTGTGATTTGAATAGTCTCTTTGTCAACAAATCCTTCAAGAAATTAATATGATTAGCTTTATTAATTATATTTTTTTTAATTTTTTCATAGTATTAATAAAATACTTGGTAAATAAATATATAGCATTATGTTGTGTTATAACTTTGATATTTAATTAAAAAAAATAGTGCACAAAAAAAGGTAATAGACAATGTGTGAATATAATCAATTGATGAATTTGAATGTAAAGAATTTTTACATTGGAGAAATATAAAGACAATATAACTAATAAAATTATTTCTCTTAATTAATTTATTAATAATGAATTATTTTTTTAATAAAGACATTATAGGAACAATGTAGCAAATATAATCAATTGATGAATTTGAATATAAAGAATTTTTGTATTGGAGAAAAATAAATATAATATAACTAATGAAATTATTTCTCTTATTTAATTTATTGATAATGAATAATTCTTTTTTGAATAAAGGCATTGTAGACACATAATTCTAAATTAAAAAATGATATGTATTATTTTTTGTTGTAGCTACTAAATTATTATTTTTAATTAATTTAATAAGAGTAAAATAGAGTACTAATTATGCCAACTTTGATTGGTATGAGGTTCGAACCTAAGACCTTTAAATTCTTATTAAAATCAATGAGTAAATTAACGGTGAACTAACAGAAATTAACGGAAAAGTGAACGGAAAATCACATTCATTAAGGATAAATTAGGAAATCTTAAGGAAAAATTAAAATCTGATCAATCTGAGCCATTCATTTGATTAAAAAATTTGACCGCCATTTTTTCTACCAATTATAGGCCTAACTCTCTTGGGCTCTTATTAGTATAGTAGATAGTAGATAACGTAATGCTACTGTACAGTAACATTACTTATATATATATATATATATACATACATATATATATATATATATATATATATATATATATATATATATATATATATATATATATATTTTAAATTAAAAATTACACTAATTTAGTTTTTTTTTTTTTTTTTTTTTGGGTCAAATGCTTAGTAGGATAATAATAATTATAAACTAAAAATTTAAAAATACACATGGCATCTTAAACATCACAAACTTGTTGGTAACCTACTAGAAATGTTAATTGCACTTTTTTTGCAGGTTCATGGATCAATTTGGAGCTTATTCGAGTTCGGTGGCTTAATTGCTATCCCCCAAATAGTTCAGTGACCTATTTGTACATTTTTCCTAAATTCTAATTAATTTTGTCAAATAAATTTAGCCAACTTATTATAGGGTTTAATGTGTATTAAAGAGTAAATACCAGCGGAGGTCCTCTGACTTTGGTGGCACTGCCACTTTTAGTCCTCAATTTTTAAATCAACCACTTTTAGTCCTCTTACTTTTTGTTTCTAGCCATCTATGGTCCTTTCGTTAAACTTGACCCTCTAATGCCGTTTTCTAAAAGATAATTCAGTCCTTTCATATTGTGTTTAATTTCCCCATCAGAATAGTCAAACAATGGTTTCTCAGCTATGAACGTGTACAAAACCAGCTCGTGAATCAAAATGGCGTACAAAAGCTGGTACGAAGGTTGTGCCAAAACGACGTCGGGATATCTCGGTATGACTCGGCAAACATAATAATTAATAAATTAATTATGAAAGGACTGAATTATCCTTGAGAAAACGGCATTAGATGGTCAAGTTTAACGGAAGGACCATAGACGGCTAGAAACAAAAGGTAAGAGGACTAAGAGTGGTTGATTTAAAAGTTGAGGACTAAAAGTGGCAGTGCCACCAAAGTCAGAGGACCTCCGCTGGTATTTACTCTGTATTAAATTATACACTTACATACTGAAACTTTTTGTGCAAAGAACTTATATTCTTCCAAAAGGTTGAACCCCAACCCTAATGGCTCCCCACACTCCGACCTGATAGAACATTTGGGAGGATGCAAATCACTGCTGGAAATTCTGGTATTTCGTCCAACAAAAATTGGACGGAAAACAGGGGTTATTGGTCGGAAAACGGGTTTCCGTCCAACATTCCGTCCAAAATGAGACCTCGGAAAAATGAACATCGCTAATTCCGTCCTACATCAGATGTTGGACGGAATTTACGTCCAATTGGTCAAAGTTGGACGGAAAATCCGGATGGTAACCCACCATTTTTAGGATGTGAATTTCCATCCAATGTTGACCCGTTGGACGGAAAATCCGAATGACAATCCACTATTTTAGGATGGAAACTTCCGTCCAACTTTGACCCGTTGAACAAAAATTCCGACCAACAGGTTGGTCAACAATTGTGACTAACTTTGACCCGTTGGACGAAAAATCTGGATGGTAACCCACATTTTAAAATGAGAATTTCCATCCAATTTTGAACCGTTGGACGGAAATTGTGACTAACAAGTTGGCCGGAATTTGTAATTTATATAATTTTTTTTGATATATAATTTATATAATTATATATCAAATCTAAATTTATATAATTTTTTTTTTGATCTTGTTATAATTTAGTTATATCTGTTGTCGATGCATTCTATATCATTTACAAAATAACGTACACACTATCTAAATTTAAAATGAAAATATATTTCAATATCAAAATTATTTAAAAAAAAAGATAGTATAGTATCTAATCCATAAATATTTAAACAATGCACTATTGTCATACACACAAAAAAGTTTTAAAAACATAAAGTACTTAATCTTCAGAGGGCGCTTGTGTTTCATCTTTTAGTCAATCACCCGGTTAGCTCCAATTTATAATCTCAAGAATTTGTAACCTGTTCTTCAGCCAATAATCTTTTTTTCTCCCTCATCTACAAAATAAAAAACGAAACAATAGAAACATTTATATTTAGATTACAAGTGCAGCCCAACGCACACACTAAGGTAAAGCAATTTAGTCTAAAGGAAGAGGCAGAACATGAGCAAAGTATGAGGGAACCATCCGCTGTAGAATAAATTCATAGGTCCTAAGTGGCAGCAAAATATGTACATTTGTGAAACTTGGGTGCATTTCTTACCTTGAAAATATTAATAAGACTTGTTTTATCTACAAAAGAGTGTCTCCATGAATGTACGCATCTGCTAGGCCAAGATCAACCTGGGTTGCTACTTGTCAATCATTTCTAATGAAATTACTAAATTTACCAACTTGGATATGAAAATGGAAAAGTGATCATACCATCCTAACGAAAGGTACCATGTCTTTTGAGTTGTCCAGAGGACTGCAACTCTTCTTTAACAACCTGTATGCAATGATCATACCAGCCTAACAACACCATTGTGACACTAAGTAATGAAATAATTAAGAACAGGAAATAAGCCAAGTAATACGTACCTATAATCCATCCTCATGGAATCCATATCCTAAAAAATTGGATTCAATGTGTTAAATGAGTAGTTAATATGAGTATGCACATGTATATAATAGGGAGCAAAAAATAATCTTACGGTTTTAATTGCTTCTTTTTGTGCTTCTGCCTCCAGATATGCATTGCAGCCTCAATTCTATTAGCAATTTCTGAAGCTGTATACTCCGATGATAGGTCCAAGTAATCAAGAAGGCATTTTGGGGACAAATTCCCAGTAGTAATGTCACTTGTATATAATAAAACCACTTCCAAAAATGTTGGAAAAAAACAAAGTAAATTGCATCTCAACCAAACCTCCAATATAGCAGTACTACTTAGCTGCATTTGCTCTTCTCTATGTCCGGCCATGTCCTCTTTCATTAGCACAATAGTTAGCCGCTAAACAGAAGAAACACCAAGTAATAACAAATAAAAGTAAATATCAACATGTGAACTAAAAACTTAATAAGCTAATAACTTATTCAAAATATTTTCTACTTAGATGGCTTAATGATTCTTATTGTAGCAAAATGCATAGTTCAGAACACATCTGCATATGCTTCACTCCAAAAACAACTTGAAGAAATCCAAATTCCTATAGTAAACCTGAGAAAGAATATGAGAAGCTGGATATCCTTCTACTATTACATTATTCACTTTTTTGTCTTCTAAGTCAAAGTTGCAATTCAAAGAAATCATGAACTTAAGCCTCAAAGGTATGATGAATATAGGCTTTAGGAATGGCTGTAATAGTTTCTAGTTAGAGACTATAAAAACCATAGATTAACAATGACTATCTCAATCAACAAATATCTTAGAAAAGTTTCTTGTCAAACTTTCTGTACTACTTATCTGCAACCACAATGATAACAATTACTATGACTTCAATGTGGTTTGTAAATGATATCCACATATACAACTCTGGAAATGAGAATATCATCCATCCATCTAAGAAATACTATAAATTCCACAACCAAAAGTAAAGTTAATACATTTAATACAGTCCAACATCAGTCAAATTCAAACAGAGCCTAAGAATATCAATCAATTTATTGACCTATTGCAACATATTTCGCTCTTGGTAATGTAATTATTCGTTAAAAGTTCAAATTTTTAGATTGTTTAACAGAATAATTTATTATGTGATCAACACTAATTTTAGAGTCATGCTCACATAAAACTTTTCACAAACAGTTGGTGGGCAAACAATCTCAGACTCCATTAATTTAGTACAAGTCAAACATAAATTTCAGTAAGCACAATTGGTCACTTTTCTGGAAATTCAGTCCACAATCGCATATGCTCTTGGAGTTCACAAATCTAAAATACTTGTATTTAAAATTAAAAAAAAAAAAATTATAGAGAAAAAAACTATTACCTGTGCAGCTTGCGGTTGCGGAGGCCGGAGAGCCACTCGGAGCGACGGCTTCGGCCTTCAGTAGTTCAGTGCGACGGCTTCGTAGAACAGGGCGACGGACTTCTGCTGCGGAGGCCGGAAAGCAGACGGCGACTCAAGGGTTTAGGACGAGGGTTTCGACCTTCAGTAGTTCAGTGCGAGTGTGCGACAACTTCGGAGAACAGGCCGACGAACTTCAACTACAGAGGCCGAAGAGCAAACGGCGACTCCGGTGGTGGGAGCGAAGACGACGGGGAGGCTTTCCTGGCAGCGGAGGCGGCTGTGACGGCGTGCGTAGGCGTTTGGTTGTGCGATGGAGCTCAGACTATAAGTGTGCGAAGGGTTTGGTGACTTTGGTCTAAGTGTGTAAGAGGGAGATGAGGCGGGAATACTTTTTTAGTTTGAGAGGGAGGGAGTGAGATGAGGCGGGAATACTTTTTTAGTTTGAGAGGGAGTTTTTTACAAGTTTTTTTTTTTTCTATAGTAAGTAATTATTTACAATATAATTATTTAAGTATATAATAAAAATATAATTATCAAAGTGTTCTATGGATATCTTAGAATTCTTGCCTATCTTCCACCTTAAAGTTTCACAAATAAGGTAATTAGTACAATTTACATTCTCATTCTGATATAAGATACATTCATTGGAACACACATGTATTTTCTCATAGAAACTATTATTCTACCATTCGAAATCTTGGGAAGGAATTCTTCCCAAATCCAAGCCAACAAGAAAACTGAGCAATACCTTCCTGACCTACGGCTCTTAGCTTTCTCAAAAATTACCATTTCTATTCACAACTTTAAAATATGGAAAATTCAACAATAAAATTAGAGTAAGAAAATAGGGATTTAAGGCTTAATGCAATTATGAGATAGGGATAAATATAATTAGAAAATAAGGGATTAGGGTTTAAGATTTGAGGACTAACCTATAGGATGGTAATGGACACGGCCATTAGTGAGGCGCTGTCATGGAAGGAAGAGACAACTTTTGTGGATGAGTGACGGCGATGGGGAGGCTAAGACGTGTAGACGGCGTGCGGAGGGAGACCGGATAGCCGATAAAGCTGAGACGATGGAGTTGCGAAGATGTGTTTGAGCTGTGAGCAGAGAAGAGTTTGTGACGAGGTACAAGTGAATGACTACAGGGAATGATTTTGTTTTGTTGGAGATGGAAAAATATTTTTTTATTAAGTGAGCATGAGTAGGGTACCGCCCAAAATTTTGGCGTTTAGAGCAAAATTTTGTGAAAATGAGCATTCTTTCTGCCTAAAAAACTTAAATATTTCGATTTCCGTCCAACAACAATGTTGGACGGTATATAATAATACCTACCATTTTGTATTTCACCAATTGGTCAATTCAATTTTCCGACCAACAGGCAACGGTAGGACGGAATTCCGTCCAACATTTAGTGTCGGTCTGAACCTCCGTCCAACGCGTGAATGTTGGACGGAAATTCCATCCAACTTTTCGTCCATTCATATTTACGATAGAAAGTTGTGATTTTTTACAAATTACCGACCAACATTTTTGTTAGACGGAAATAGCGAAATTTCCAGCAGTGAATCATGGTAACTAAATAACTTATATTAAAAGTGCAAGTAACAAATGCAGTGTGTGCAGGTACAATGCACAAGTAAAATCACATCAAAGTGCAACCATTTACACTTTTAATAGTGTAAGCAATTTACCTTTTCACATTGGTGCACTTAATAATAATGTTTGGTCCAACTAACACTAGTAGAAAATGGACCAAAAAAATACTACAATACACGTCTTTAATTACAATTAAAGACTTCTAAAGTAAGGGAAGTAACGCGCAGTGGCATTTAAGTAAATATTTAAAAGACTTTACGTGTCTTTACTAAATTAGTAAAGACGCGAAAATTTAATGCGGAGACAGTGCGCGTCATTATCGTCAAGGTAAAGACTCGTATTTCTTTTATTTCATACATATTAAAAAAACCATATAAATATCTTTTACTCCACAAAACCCTAAGTTTCCTCTTTCTCTATCTCTCCCTCTTGCCGTCGCACTACACTTCTCCCTTCCGCACCTCAGTCTCTTCCACCTGCCCCGCCTCCACCACCCAGTGCACTAAACTTCTCTCTGTCTTCGTCTTACTCTCCTTAGTGGCTCCCTTCCGGGCCTCAGCGTATAAGTCATCCCCAAGACGGAGTGCGTCAAAGAGTAGGCTGTGGCCGTGGCCGTTCTCCGCTGGGATATCATTCAACGGCATCTTCAGATTCATATCTATAACCGTGAAAGGCGATGGCGGCTTCAGATTCGACCAACACATCGCGTGTTCTACATCCAGCAGTGGATGTGGCGGCAGTGACCACTTCAAATCGCATCTCTCCCTTCTGATCCAGCCTCAATCTCCATTTACTGAAACGAAGACAACTATTACGATCTCGTTGGGTGATTTTCTATTACGATCCTTTCCTCTACTCTACATTGCAGTGAATCAATTTTATTTCTCTGTTCTGGATGTTTCGAAGTTACCAAGACTGGATTTTTTGAGTTCTGTTTCCTAAACTGTGAGTGTGCGGCTGATAGCATTTTTGCGTTTTGATTTGCAGTAAAACTCTATTGAAGCCGACAATACTTCGGATAAAGCTATTGAGAAACCGTAGAGAGATTCAGCTGGAGCAGATGCTCAAAGAAATTGCCAAGCTTCTCGAAACTGGTCAGGAAGCCACTGCTCAGATTCAGGTATAAAGCACTCTTTCTATGCTAATATTCAATCCCAGTGCTCATACAATTATTTTCATTTTATATGCAATTCATCTAATCCTACCATTTGGAGATTTAAATGATTATTAAGTATTAACAATGGGGTTTGCTGTTACTATATCATGTGGAACATATTATAAGAGAGGAGAAAATGATGGCTGCCCAGGAGATAATTCAGCTATTTTTTGAGCTCATAAGTGTTCATCTTCCAATAATTGAGGCACAAAGGTATACATATTTGGTTTTCTGATGAGGGAATATTGGATTCTTTAATCCTTCTTTTTTAAGTATCACACACACACACACACACTTGATTATTGTGACTCTTCAGCATACAGGTTTATCATAGTACTAGTGTATTTCTCCATTTCAGAATAACATGTAATCTGTAATGAACAAAGAACAAGTTTAGTGTATGCATGCACAACAATTATTAATGTTTGAATGTACTTGAACTATTAGAGGATTACTGTAAAATTCCTTCAGCATCTAAGGTGTTTCATTGAGTTGTTTTGAGTGCCATAGGATATGTTTATGAACAATTCCCTTTTATATCACATTCACATGATCAAGTTTGCCTAACATACTTGATTTCCTTGATATGATATGCTTTATAGGGCTAGTTGTGGCATTACTTGGAAAAGAAACTACTGCTGGTGATTTTCTGGTTGAAGATGTTCTAGAGGCTGGCCTAGCACAACAAATAGAGCAACCACTTCAATCAGGTGAGATTGCATAACTTGAATGTTTTCTTAATCTTCTGGCATTTTATTCAGTGTATGTGCTTGCTTGTTTTCTGGTGCTCTGCCATTCTTTGGACCGAATTTGAACCTTTGTTTGCATGCAGCCCTGCAAATTAATTTAGTGTCCAGATGAGGTGATATGAATCAAAGTTTTCTTTTCAGTATTTAATCATGAAGAACTGATTTAGTGTATGAGCTTGAGTAGGTGAATTCATCATATATAAATTAATGGAAGTTGGAGTACTACAACTCTTATACTAAACAAACATTAGAATTAGTATGTAAGCATTCAAGTTAAAACTTATTTATTGGATGAACAGGTGAAGACAAGTATGTGGTATTCATCTCTGGTTTGAGACTTTGAGTGTTGGGAGCGGCACCTCCAATCCTCTACAATTTCAGCTTTTAATTGATCATATAACTAGACATCTAGGAGATGAGATCGAAGGTTTTGTTTCATTTTCTTCTATCACATATTTTACATGTTACTATCTGATTGATTTGAGCAATATCTTTTTAACTTGTTCAAAAAGGACCAAAATATCGCATCTCAAATTGTTCAAGTAGTCATTGCTATAAATTCTGTCGAAGTTCCAAGTGGACTTCTGAATGCTTAGGTAAACTCTTTGCTTTCATTATTATAGAATAGATGTTTGAATATTTTTTCCTTTTTATTATTATTATTGTAAGTTAAATAAATTTCTCTTATTTGTAAACCGTCTTCTTATTTTATTTTATTTTTGTGAGAATACAGTGTTCAATTTCAATTCATCAGACACATCTTCTTTTTGTCTCTTAAGTTGATGTTTGTCTATGAAATAGTCTAAATGATACAGTTAAAAAATATTATGTTGTAACTCTGGATATAAATATGTGCCTAGAATGGGCTCTACTCATTGTTATGGTAAATGCAGTATTAATTTTATAATTGAAAGAGTTGCACTGTCTTTTCAAAATTGATAGTATATATACTCATTGTTATGGTAGTTGCATTATAATATTTTATAGTTTATATACTCATGTTCTTTTAATTATCCAAAATTTTGTAGGTATGTCATGACACAAATGTGTATTCTAAGGATGGAATATATGAGATAAGGAGGGTATGGATAGACTATTTTGTAAATAAGTGCATATAAATGTTTATTATGTGATTTAGATGGAATTACATTATATATATAATGATAGATTAATGTTAGGGTTATTATATTGTGTTTAGAAAATTATGTATGTTGGATTATATATATATTGCGTTGAATGGTTTGAACCATATAAATGTTGTTTGGTGGGGGAATATTCTGTTGAGCAGGGATTATATTGAATTAAATTTAATATTAAAAGAATATAAGTACAGGCGCATTTATTTTTTTTTAATTTTTGTTAAACACAATACGCGTCTTTACTTAGCTAGTAAAGACGCGTATAGTCAAGCTTCACGTGGCTTCCAAGTAAAGACGCGTAAAGTTCCAGCTTTCCGTGTCTGCGCCATACGCGTCTTTGCTAAAAAGGACGCGTATTGTCAATTAGTAAAGACGCGGATGGTTAATTTTGTACTAGTGTAATAATAACGTTAGGTGCATTTAATATTGTTGTTTACTTAATAAACATTATTTGTTGTGTGATTTGAATACTCTTTTTGTCAATAAATTCCCCTTGTAGTTAATATGATTGGCTTAATTATATTTTTTATTTTTTTAAAACAATTATTATTATTATTATTACTATTATTATTACTATTATTATTATTATTATTATTATTATTATTATTATTATTATTATTATTATGTATACCCTTAGGTCATTTTACATGTTAATCTAAACAACTAATTTTTTCAAATATCTTTTTACCAATCGTTGATATAATTCGCTAACGCTAATCGCTAACTGCTGATTGTCAAATAATGACATTGCGAGGTAGTTCTCACTTCAATTTGTTGTGTGATTTGAATACCCTCTTTGTCAACAAATCGCTCAAGTAGTTAATATGATTGGCTGTATTAATTATATTTTTTAAAATTTTTCATGGTATTAATAAAGTACTTGGTAAATAAATATATAGCATTATTTTGTATTATAACTTTGATATTTAATTAAAAAATAGTGTTCAAAAAGATAATAGACAATGTAGTGAATATAATCAATTGATGAATTTGAATGTAAAGAATTTTTACATTGGAGAAATATAAAGACAACATAACTAATAAAATTATTTCTCTTAATTAATTTATTGATAATAAATAATTTTTTTTAATAAAGACATTGTAGGTACAATGTAGCAAATATAATCAATTGATAATTTGAATGTAAAGAATTTTTATATTGGAGAAAAATAAATACAATATAACTAATGAAATTATTACTCTTATTTAATTTATTGATAATGAATATTTTTTTGAATAAAGACATTGTAGACACATAATTCTAAATTAAAGAAATGCATATGTATTATTTTTTGTTATAGCTACTAAATTATTATTTAATTTAATAAGAGTAAAATAGAGTAATATATATAACAATTTGCACCTATAATAATTACAAACTATTCCCTTAACAAAACCAGAGCAAAAAAGGGTACGATGGAAAAAAAAAAAAAAAAAAAAACTCGGGCATACTTTAGTTCAGAACATCCCAGAAATCGAAATGAATCTTTGTGTGAATTATGGGAGCATATCGTAGAAAATGCATATATATGAAATTTGGGGAAAGAGTTACGTTGTAGTAATAAATATTTGTAGAAATATCATAGATTTTTTTTTTTTGAATGCTACTGGCTCTATTACAATGTAGTATCTTTTTTGAAAGCAAAGTTGCGAATTTCATTACTGTAAGTGTGGAATAATAACATCAGGGGGGACATCGTCCCAAAACATAGCAATATCCTGGTCAGTGACCATTGCAGCTAGTGTATGAGCAATAATATTAAAACGTCTAGGAATAAATTTAAACTGACATGAAATAAACTGTGCCATAACGACTTGACACTCATGAACCACAATTCGAACATATGATCTGGGTTGTGAACCAGCTCTAGATAGATAGGATTGCAAGACCGAACAATCCGTGAACATAGTAATTTCCGTTACTTGCCGATCCTTCAACTATGATAACGCCTCTTTACATGCTAGGGCCTCCGCTGTGATAGCATTTTCAGAAAACGGAAGCTGTCCCCTTGTTGCCGCCACAAAAGCCCCGGCCCCATCCAATATTACCGCCCCATATGCTGTTGTCCGTGAGAGGGAACTCCACGCCGCATCGACGTAGCACACCATACCATGCATGACGGTGGGAAGCAGCTGCATGGCATTGGAATGTTGCTGCTGTGTTGTTCCTGCTTCCCGCGGCTGTGCTGCTGCCCAAGCCGCAAGGCTTGCCTTGGCACAACTCCATAGTTTCTTCGGCATCCACATGCTCCCCTCCCAAACTGCAGAGTTCCGCGCACTCCAGAGGTGATATAAGACTGCAACAAATTTAATCAGATTATCCATTGTTAGCACAAACATTGCATTCTGAAACCACTCCATAAAGGATCCCCCAACCACAGAAGCTATATCAAGGCCAGTATCATTCCAAACACGACAAGCATATTGACATTCAATCAAGCAATGCATAACATTTTCATTAAAATCAAGACACATTGGACAAGCTAAAGGCACATCAACTCTTCTACTTGCCAAGGCAGTCGTAGTTGGCAAAATACCACTTATGGCTCTCCACAAGAAAGTTTTCCATCTAGGTGGCACCTCCAACTTCCACAGTGCATTCCATCTATTAAATCCAGTATTATTATGTATCTCACCCACAACGGAACGGTACGCACTTTTGACAGAATATGACCCATTATGCTCCTTATACCAATACCATGAATCCTCATAGTCCGGACAAACAGGCACCCTGCGGATTCGGTTCACATCAATCGGGTCAAAACTATCATTCAAAATATCCGGGTCCCAAGTACGAGTATCCTGATCAATCAAGCCTAACACCCCTGCTTCATAAATATTATGTGGTAGAACAGTATGGATTTTATAATCCAAATCCAAAAGCCACGGATCTTTACCTATCATTGTTGTCACTCCATTCCCAATCCTCCTCCTTATTCCTCCACATACAAGGCCATGAGCAGCTATAATACTCCTCCAGCAATAACTTGGGTTATTTCCCACAGTGGCATCTATAAAACTAGTTTTAGGGTAATACCTTGCCTTATATACTTTTGCAGCTAAAGACTCTGGCTTTGTAAGAAAACGCCATGCCTGCTTCCTCAACATTGCAAGATTAAAGGCCTTTAGATCCTTAAAACCCAGACCCCCAGCTACCTTCGGCTTACTGAGTCGATCCCAAGCCATCCAATGAATACCTCCTCCACCCGTGCCTCCCTTCTCCCAATAGTACCTATTCATGGTCCTTTGAATCGCCACACAAAGTGAGTCTGTTAGTAAAAAGACACCCATTGAAAAGGTAGGCATAGCCTGGGCTACCGTTTTCAACAGAATCTCCTTACCTGCTTGTGACAACAATTTCTTATTCCAAGATCCCACCCTTTGCCGGATCTTCTCCTCAATAAATGCAAAGACCTGTTTCTTATTTCTTCCAATAAAAGACGGTAATCCCAAATATTTTCCAAAATCATTAGCCTGGGCCACCCCTAACACCGCAACTACTTCACCCCTCATCTCCTCTGTTGTATTTTTACTGAAGCATATACTGGATTTATGGTAATTTATAGACTGGCCAGACAACTTTTCATAGAGCTCCAAACATTGCTTTACCGCTCCCCCCTCCTGTCAGGAATGAACGCACTCTGAGATTCCGAAATAATGGAATCCATAAACGACTTCATCATGTTCGCAATCATCTTGGCCATAATCTTATAGACCACATTGCTCAACGCAATCGGCCTCAAATCCGCAGGATTCTCAGGGACCTTCTTTTTCGGGATCAGGACAACATTCAAATCATTTAATCCTTCCGGGAAAACACCCGTATTGGGGCAATTGAGCACAAATTCCGTCACCTCAGGTCCCACAACACCCCAGAAGTGCTGATAGAAGCCTGGGTTCATTCCATCCGGTCCAGGTGCCTTATCCGGAAACATAGCAAACAGAGCCCTTTTCACCTCCTCCGCCACAAAAGGTTCCAACAACGACTCATTTTGCGAATCAGACACACGGGGGAGCACCGTATCAAAAAAGTTACTATGGGGTGGGGCATTAGATGACTTAAAAATATCAACAAAGTAATCAATAACAACAGTATTCATAGCACCCTTAGTAACCCAATTTCCATCAACCCCTTTCAATTTATATAGAAAATTTTTCCGCTTACGAGATGAAGCATACCTATGAAAGAATTTGGTGTTAGCATCTGCCCCACGTAGCCAATGCTGCTTTGCCCTCTGCCGCCAATAGACATCCTCCTGCGCCTCTAGACGAGACAATTGAGCACTAATT